TTTCTAAGTTTTTTAATCATACAAGTTCTCAGCTAAAATTACTTACAGAGCTTTCTAAAGGATTGAAGCACATACAGTGAATATTTACAACATAAAAAATAGTGCTAAACAAGAAAAACATTACTTCATTTTTTCTAGCAAACTCAAACATCCTCTACAATCTCGTTGATAAAATCTGTTTCTTATACCTTACGAATCTAGTCAACCTCCCAATTTGTGATCCCTCTAATTCCAGTAGTATTTCTCCTTTAAATTTGTATCTACAGTCAAAATGTAAAGGTTAACACTCCAGCTGTTTGAGAAACTTCTTAAGATTTCTTCAAATGAATGCATGTTATAAGGACATTAATGTTTCAAGAATGAATATGAGGATATAAAAAACCTTTATTTCTAGAATAAACACTACATTGATTGTAGACAATTAAAAAATGCATGTTTTGGAGATGTTTTGCTAGAATGTGACACTAAGTTGGCTATATGCACTGAATGGCCTTCATTATCAAGTGTGTAGTGCTTTTGTTATGAATTCATTTCACATGAAAAAAGAATTTTTTTTCCTCAATCAAAATTCATCCAAATAAGTTTTTTCAGCAGAACTCGGAAGACAAGAATTTATTAGAGCAATTCCCATTATGAATGTTCTTTTATATTTTCTTTTTTTTTTATTTTTAAATTCTTAGTAAAAGCACTGGAGATGTTGAAAGAGAACATTGAAAATCTTAGTGTATAAACAAACTAAATGGGTACTGAATTATATTCTGTTGTACTTGGGTAAAACTGATTTGTTGATCTCAAGCATTCATTAACAAACTCTCTTTCAAACACGGGAGTGATAAGGAGAACTCAGCCTCTGTCTCTATGTATATTTAAGATTGCATTAAGGCAAATTTTTCTATGATACTTACATACAAAGTTTTCTTTCTCCAAATAATTAATTTTCCAAAGATGGTCACAGATAACACCCATAGCTATAGTACCCATTCATAAGCTTTTTGTACACTTCCCCAATCCCAAAATTGTCCATTACCTAAAGGTGAAAAAATTGATCAAACTAATCTACCTGAATGGATTCTAAATAGATTAGAAATCAGTATGGTGCCCAGTACCACAGAGCTGAAGTTTTCTGTCTCATACTCCTCATGATCTAGTACAGGTTAAGGACTTGCCTAAGTGTGCTCTTGTTAATTTCAAAATGGAGACATCACACCTGTACAATCTAAGCTACCAGTCCAAGCTCAAAAAAGGATGTTTGCATTAGATATGGAACCCAGCTCATGCAAACTGCAGAAAAGTATTTTAACTGACTGAGCATCCTTATCTATGCTCTGATTGAAGTAGAATAATCTATATTCAAACAAGTTTGTTCTGCTCTTAGACACAAAATCTCTTCAGTAGCCATCCCTTCACATAAAAATGTCTATACATCCTTTAAATTTTGATTAACCATCAAGGCATGGTATTCAACATGCAAACTAGCAAGGATACAAGACCAGAGTGAGAGCACCTTTCAGTAGTGTTTTGTCCATTTGGATGTGAGTTAAGCAGCCAAATGATAGAAGCAACAAATTCAAGTGTGTGCATATGGGACTCCTAGCTGTCCCTCCTGTCCCAGCATCAGTGTAAGCAGCAGACTTCAACAAACTTCTAAACTAGGCACATCAAGTTAATTCATGGTTATTTTTAAGGAGCTGAAGTCCCTGGCCTTCATTCTCAAGTTTGGAAGACAAAATGAGGCATCAAACCTGACACATACACTTCAGTATCTAAAACACAATGTCTTTTAGAAGCAAATTACTTATATGTGCAAGTTTCTCATAGCACAAAAAGTGAAGAACAACACAGGAATCGTAAAACAGTTCACTTCCCATGACCAAACCACAAGAACAAATTTACGGGAGAGGCAGAACGACATGCTGTCTCTCGGAACACATACACCATCTGTGTTCCTCAGAAGGAATAAGTTTATTTTCCAGCATGCTGAAGAACATATTTCTTCTGTTTTGGGTAACCATCTCAGACACGACATACATTTCCAAGGAAAGGGCTGCGTTCATTTTTTTAAACATCTCACTTCTGAAATATTTTGTGTAATTATATATAGAAAAAGAATTAGCACTTCTAAATGCAGTGCCTCTGAAAACTATCTTGCTGAAAACTGACCTTGGTATCATTAATTCTGGATAGTTTAATTTTTTCAGCTGCATAGGTTTTGTGAAGTTCTCTGTAGAGAAATACAAGCACAGAGAGATTTTCTGTCAAAAACCCAGATTCTGCTTCTGTTTGACTTGAGGGATAGTGCTTTTCTTCACAAGCAGCTCCCCTTATATTAAAATCTACCCAGAACTAATACAGTGAAGACAAAGTTGGAACACAAGATATGAGAAAGAGGAATGGCAAACATATGGAACAGGTGAAAGACAATCTAGACTGCAGCAATAAAATAGGAATCTTTCTTGGATTACAAGTAGTATTGCATTAAGCTGCCATTTATTTAAAGCTTACAGGTATAAGAATCAGTACTACACTGGTATTCAGGAGAGGACATTTTCTTAACATGGCAAGCAGATAGTTTTAAGAATAGATTTAACACTCAGTGATATGCCAGAACCAATAGTAAAATAGATATTTTTATCTCCAAATCTTTACATCTATTTTGGTGAGCACTGTGTCTGGACTCTGTCCTGAAAAGAATCAATCCTGAAAAATCCAAAACTCATCCTGGGAGTACAAGTATATAAGCATAAGGCAAGAGCAATGGTAATTTCCAAATGGATTTGCATGTGTCCTTCAGGGGTTTCAGTAATTATCCACTCAGATTGGTAAAGTGTACTGATGGAGCATCACTCACATTGACACGATTTGGAACTGGCACCCTTTTTAAAATGTAATTATGGCAAGAACCATCCGAAGACTTCGTTTAGTTATTTACATCCATAGTAACTTCAGGAAGGCATCAGCTAAAGGACAAGTACAATTGTTCCTATGTGCACAAAAATAAACAAAGAAATGGGAACCCACATTCTCCCTGGAGAACAAAGTCACAGACTGTTTCTCTGGCTTCCATGTCATTTCTTGGAGTATTGTAAATACTCTCTTTCCTTGATTACATACCTTGTAGATCATCCAGGTAGGTAAAGATGTTGTCTATGGTTAACCTTAAGGAATACATAATCAAATCCGTCCACTAAGCATATTTCCTTGCTGGCTGCTGAATCAGTAATTAGAACTGAAAAGAAGGTGCTCTATTGCTGCAGGTCTTCCTCATCTGACCAAAAATACAGCACTGGTATGAGCATGTACACTTTGGCTTATTTCAAACAACTTTTGGCTTTAGATGGAGATTTTCTCTTTTTAACTCTTTTAGAGTTAAATCAAGAGACTATTAGAAAACTGTTCATTAGGCAGTCTGTTAGCTCCTTAGCTCCTTTGTTCCATTGTCAGGCACAAGATATCCATAAATATATCCTTCTTATTTAGAGTGCAACCTGGACGGGATCATACCTAGATGTTGATGCAATCAGAATTGAACATAAGATTATGTAAATCTGCAGAACAGCAGTAGCACCCTAGATACTCATCCTTTTCTTGGTTTTCATTGTCTTGCTTTGTTCTGTGTCCTTTGCAAATTTTCAGTTGTATGATTTCTCCAAAGGAAAATAACAACCAGATTAAATTTAGACAGTATAGGTGGCTTATTTGCTTTTTAAAAAAAATTCCATTTCAAGATTTTTGAACTGACTCTGAGAACAAAGTAGTCTTCTAACAAACAAAACTGAATACTAAAATTTTATGTCAGTATAGGTAAAGCTTGAAGAAAAGAGCAAATACCACAATTATTATTCTAAAGGTCAGATATGATGGATTCAGGGGTCTATAAAAAATTCCAAACATGTTTCATGTATGTTTCATATATTTAAGGTAGAGCAAAGATGCAGATTGTACACTGCTGTTGGGAAAATTCAGTTTTCAGAGGTGAATTTTTAAAACTGTTTTTCCCTCTCAATCCCTCATTTCTGTTGCCACATAGATGCTTTCAGCTTGCTGTCACTCATACTTCTGTGTTATGGTCAAGACCCTTGTGAAACTTGTGCAGTAAATTAATAAAGAAAATATCTTCTGATGACAGTTCTGAAATGGTACTGAACTATATTTTTGTAATGGTTTAGGAATGGCATTCCCAACTTAAGTACTCCCACTGAAAGGAAGGCCACAGACTGCTCCCTCCTCCCCTATCTCTCAATATCCCCTCCTATGAAAGGGACAAAAGGAAGAGATGAAGAGTTGCGATAAGGAACAATTTACTGGAAACAGCTATGATATATGAAAACAAACAGTGGCAGCAAGAATATTAATAATGGTGTACAAGAGATGATGATTCCCATATAAAAATACCAGCCATGCCTGACCTGACAGCTGCCCAGCAGTGAACAGTGGTGGATGGGTTCTCTGCCCCACCACACTCTGTTCCTCCCAAAACCATGGCCCTGCTCCCAGAAGCAAGAGTCATTCACTCCTGCCCCAGGTGGTAAACTGGATTTGGAATAACAACCCAGACTTGCCTAGGAGGCTTAAGGCTCCTCCCCTCATGGCTACCGCCAAAAATTAACTCTGTCCTGGCTGAAATCAGGACAATTTCTCATCAAAGTCATATCTACGATCTTAACTATTACCAAAGTAAGCTGAAATCAGAACTTTGTCCAAGCTCTAAAATAACATTAAGAATGTCTCTATTAAATTAGCTCTGTTATGCTTATGGAGGATCACTGGTCCAACTATGCAACACTCACAAAAAAATACTTTCAAAACCAGCAAGCTGACACCAACAGAGGTTTTGGGGAATCTTGACATTCCTTTTCTCATCCTTTCATAGTCAATGAAAACTGACTCAGACTGATTTGCTCTCATTATGTAAACTAGAAAGCAAAGACTGGGAGGAGGAGGAGAAGGGTTAAAAAAGAGGGTACTTCCAATTTTTATTTTTTATTTTTTTCTATTTGCAGAAAAAGCTTTGCACCTGAGAAGTGACTTCTAGTTTAAAGGAAAATGAGTCATCTCCATCTGACACCGGATACAGCCTGCACATATGAGTCTCTCTCATTGCTTTCTGCCGAGAAAGGATGTCATAGATGCTGATATGAATGCAACATCTATTGTCCTACAGTGGAGTAGAAACCAGGAAATGAAGGTATGAAAAGGAAGCTTTTGTCCATAATTTTGCTATCTTATTCCAATTATTTTTTATATAAATTTTCTTAATCAAGGTGTGAAGCATAATTCAATATACAGAAAATATTCACCATGGCTATGTGGAACCAGAAACCTGGGTTTCTGACATCTCATCCTGCTTAATAAAATCTCAGTGCAGTGTTTTCCTTAGAGGAATATGGTATACAAGAGAAGAAACAGGCCAAGAACTTTTACAGTGACCAAAGTGGCTCAAATTATCTAGTTTTTTACTTTACTATACTGTAGTACCTCTAGCTGCAAAACACCAGAGCATAAAGGCATAGCCAGAATATCATGGAGGAAAGGGAGAAGAAAAAATATCTGGGCAGAACGATTGAGAACAAAACATCTTACAGTTCTGGCAAGCTTTCAGAGCTTACTTTTTTTCCTCCAAAATTATGAGCAGATGTGAGCAAATGCTGTGTAAAAAACTGAGCTTCCACCTTAAATGGAAGACAAAATGCAAAAACAATCTAGAAAGCAGTGCCTGCAACACCAATACTGTGAGAGATTTTGAGGAACGGAAAGGTTAGGACAAATTTCAGGAGAAATTCTTAAATTGCAACTGCTTCTTTGAACAAAATGTGGTCTACAGGACTTAAGGTACCCCAACTCAAAATGTCCTTTTCTGTGCTAAAAAGCATTTAATAACAATAATAAGAGAGGAAAGTTTGCAAAACTGGGACTCTGCAGTTATTCTTAAAATACTCTCAATCGTTTTCCATCCTCTGTCAAATAAAGCTTATAGATGAATCCAGGATAAATTTTGTACCATCACTAACATTGTTCATCTAGTATACTAAGTGAATCTGCACAAGAAAAGGGGTCGATAATAGGGGATTTTTTCAAGGAAAGCACATTTAAGCTGTATCAAGAGAGTGGTGAAAGGGAGGAAAATGGAAATTCACAACCATTCAAACAGGAAGACTCAACTGGTCCCCTATGGAAAGGCCACTAATTTAAAATAAGACCAAGAGAACTTAATTTATCTACTACATTTAAGGGTAAGCTCTGAGTTTCAAAATGCACTTCTGCTGACACACTGACTTAGTTTTTGTGCTTAGTACTGGATTTTCACAGTCTGGCAATTTTTTTATGGTATTCCTTTAATTTCTCCAGAGCCAGTTAAACCTAACATAACTTGTGGTTTTCAGGACAGAATAGAATATGAACATAGTTGCCTTTCTAAATGAAGCCTAAACAATCAAGATATCTGGGCAAAGTGTGGTATGTGAATCTACAGAAACGTTGTAAAATTGCTTCATTTTGCATTACATGCTACTTTACTTTTGATTTTTGGCTGTTCAAGAAATTTTGTTTGCCACTTTTCATATCCCAGTCATGCAGCAACATTGTTTCATGAGAAAATACTGAACTGAGAGCAAACCTAAGTGCAAACCACCAATTCCTATACTTTGTAATAGCAAGCCTTTCATTTTTCGCAAAGTCTGTTGCTACCAGAGACAAGCATATATAAAAGGGAGCTTCTAACCTTTATATTTGAAGAATTAATTTGAAAATATATGATAAATATACATCAGGTCCTCAACAACACCAAAACAAAATGGAAAGCCCCAAGATACCCTTATCATATTTTTTTTGGAGAAGTCGGGGGGGTCTACCCTCTGTGTTTTCTTACTTTTATGTTGGCTGTACTACAAATTTCTCATCATCTTCTGCAATTGCAGTAAGTGTTATAAGGAGAAAGCTCAGTAAATGAAGAAAAGACTTCTAAGCTGCTCAGCCCATACCAGGTCAAACACACCTGCACATACCTTCTGAATCAGAATTGTCTCAGGGGGAAGGGCTAGAAATACTTCTTTAGCACACAATTTGGCAACATGTCAGAGATGTCAAGTCAGCTCTGAGCATGCTCTCACAATTGTCAGGGATGCTAGTTACCTGAAGCATGGAGCAGGCCAGTGCAGCTGCACTGACACAAGTGGCTCTTGAACCCTGCTCTCTTGACCAGGACATAGGCAGTCACAAAAGTCCCTGTGAAACTGAGGCTGGTCTTTCTGTGGTGGTCCAACAGCCACGTTCACAAATGCTACCATAAAATTCCCAGGGATGGGCCTAACAGTGAGATGAAGGATTTACTGACAGAATGCAGTTAAAATAGCCTCTGAAGGATAGTCCCAAAAGCTTCACCACAATGTAGAGCAATTCACTCATTTTTTGCAGCCTTACAGAAAGAACTCTGGAATCTTCTTTTCCTCAAGAGGGTTAAAGGGAAACCTGTAGGCTAAAGGATCCTTTACCTGATCAGAAAAGTAAGGTTTGACAAAACATAGGGAAAAAAAAAAATAAGGTACGGAAGTGACTGTCATTTGAAAAGGACTCAGTGCAGAAAAGCTGTTTTACACAGGGTCTGCACTCTTTGAAAACCTTCCAGTATATTTTATGCTGCCATGTGATCTGTCTTTGTAATCAATAGTGAAGAAATGTGATTAGGGAAAAGAATGAAAGGTTTTAAATATGGTGGGGAGTTTAAACAGAAAAAAATAATCAAACAGTCTACTGAAAATTGTAGCTTGTAAGCACAGGACATTATTTTTCTAAACAAGAAAAAAAATTCTGCAAAAAAAATAATGCATACAGATATTTTTTCCAGAAACTCTCACTTCATTATCCTCATAAAAACACTAAAAATCATAGAATTATCTTCAGCCATTTTAAGTCTGTGTTTATTTGCAGCTGCAAACTGTATAGAAATGCACAGTGTTCAAAACTTGGAATTTATTAAAAAGTGGTTAAGAGCAATGTGAATTTCAGCCAACTGAAAAGAAAAAGGGAGACTGTTAAGCTAGAATATATCATTATTCCAACCTCTCTCAGCATCATAATTTCAATCTATTTACAGAAACCTTAAGGAGATATGAACTAAAAAGAATTGGGCTGTGGTAGTCCTGTCAGCTATGCTAATCTGGAGAATAGAATTTTGTAGGGGAATGTAAATCTCATGGTTTTCAAAAGGGGCTGAACATTCACCTCCTCCCTAAACTCTATTTTTTTTTTAGTGGGTGGTAGAGGGGAAGAAGAAGGAGGAGGGAGAAAACAGGAAGGGGGGAGGGAGGAGAAGTTTAGAGATTAAAATCACTTACCCCTTTGTTTAAATATACGGTGTGTGTGTTTAAATATACAGTGTGTGTATATACAAGGTACTCAGTTTATTAGGGCACAGGAATTATAAATCAGTTTTACAGAGCCAAAACTGGTATGATATAAACTTCCAGTTTGTCAGTCTCTTCTTGGAACAGGCTTTACATCAGAAATGTGTCAGTAAAGCTAAAACCTTATGAAGATCTGCTAGTCTAAAATTCTTATTATGTTTATTATTGTACCTGTTTCTGCAAAGTAATGGGAACCTTAATTCTCACATAAATCCTCCTTTTTTATACTATTTTCTGAGGTTGTACTCAAAATCAACATGGTTTCTTAAATTTATCCTAGACCCCTAATTGCTTAGAATACTATTTTTTCATTCTGCAGATAAGCCAATGCTGTAATTAATTATATGCTATACACAACAACTGTCTTAGATCTGTCTTCAAAAGCCAGGTGTAGTTTAAAACTAAGATCTAAGACTCCCTAAACTGCGCCTCTTCCCCAAAGACATTCACATGCATACATGCTTTTTTTTTAGTATGGTTAATATGCTGTGAACTCTAGACTCTGTCATAAATAAAAGTGAGAAAATGTAATTAATGTTACTCTGGGAACCGTAACTTCAGGATTTTTTTGGCCATGTGACTCAACTCATTAACTGGGGTTATGGTAGTTTTTGTAACCTATCTACATTCTTGTACATATCAGGAGGCCTGCTTCCATTGTAATGTTTTCAATCAATTTTTACAGAAGAAACCACAAAATATTTCCAGCTGAAATTTCTCTGTTACATGTGTTCATTCCTTTTCCTTTCTATTTCGTACCTTTACATTGTGAGGTTTTGTACTTCTTATCTTAGAACTGCTCTATTTCACCTTTTTCTTTATATCTGGCATGGTTTTGCTCTCAGATTAACCTGTCTGTAAATTTCTCCCCACGCCTAATTCTTCTAATATCCTATCTATCCTAATCCTTATTTTCTATTTAGAACTAGTGAGGCTGTACTAGTGAGAGTGCTCTTGTCAGTGGTGGGTTTCCCAGTACAAGAGACAAGAATGCTATGGAGAAAGTCCATCACAGGGCCAGAAAGATGATCAGTGAAGTGGAGCATCTGCCCCACATGGATAGGCTTGATACTGCATTGCCCTTGGTTTCCTGTAGGTTCCTGTGGCCTTTTTTCACAAACTTTGTGTGTGTTCTATTTAAAGTCAGTCCCTCCTGCATGTAGCCCACTGCTAAAAACTGAGGGGGAAAATCCACAGATTTCTGACTCATTTGAATTCAGGAGTGAGAGCTCTAAGGTTGAAATGATGAAACTAGTTAAATACAAAATAAAATTGAAACCATCCCAAGCATACATATCTCTCAGCTTGGGAGTTTAAGAGTTCAGTTAGGGTTTAGAAACAAGAAATGGAAATCTAATTTGAAAGCATTTTAGGACTTGCACTTTGTAGTAACATAACCAGAAGTTTCTGCCTTAGAGCCAAGGGTGCAATCAGCATGCTTGATATTGTATGCAGTCAATGTGGTAAGAAGCACTCAGCTCAAAGAGCAGGCTGTGGTAGTGGTTTTTTTCCCATGCACAGAATCATTTACTGGCTGTCTCTTCCACTCCATCCAGAGACTTGCATGTGTTTCAAGAGTTTAGGTGCCCCTACTCTTCTGAGCTGGGGTCAGAACTCTGCAAGTACATTCATTCTTCAGTGACCTGATCAGACAAGGAAGTTCTGGAACACTCACAGGAGAATCCAAACCCTCTTTTACACCCTCTTTCTGGCCTAGAAAAAAGCCAGATAGGTTCAATTAACCTATCCTCTTCAAAAATGAGCTGCTGTGCTCTATTTCAGGCAGCCTTATTATCTAAGCAGCTTTTTCCAAGAACTGGAAGACAAGATACTGAAAATGAGAAGTTTCATAGAGCATGACTTATAAATTAAAAATATCTAAGAATTTTCATTGCTGCAATCCTGGTAAAATACTTCATTTGACATACATGCAGCTTTTAAAATGCAAGTGCTTATCTTCATGTAAAATAGAGTGAAAGTAAGTATTTTTTGCTTTCATTGTAGAAGTATTATGAAATAAAGTTTCAATTTAGTTTTAGATAGAGTATGCACAACATATGTATGTATTTATATTAAACATTTTCTTTTATTTATTTCTCCTCAATTTTAAACATGAAACTCACAGGAAAAATTGTTTGGGTATGTGTTTCCACATATGTAAAAAAGTGTTTTGCAGCATCCCAAAATTGTGCTTCCTACTTTGCACGCACAACTCCAGGTATGGTGCCAATAGCCAGAATACAGTATTTGTCAGTTGGCCTTGTCAAGGACTCTAAGCTGACACACGATCCACACTGCTCTCCAGGGAACTAGGAGACACTAATTGAGTCAGGGACCCTACATAGTTGCAGGCATAGTGGTTTTACAATATATAATGCTATTAGGATTGGACTCTGATATGGTAAATTATGGGGAAAATCGTGAATTAGTCGCAGTCAAAATATCAAAAGCAATAGGAATCATAGTTTAAAAACCCAGATAAAATTCTATACATGAAACATGTTTGAGGTGAAACTACCATTTTAGAGCACCTGTAGTTACAATTCTTATTTGTTTATACAACATAATTTATGGGACTATACTGATAAATAGAAGACAATACCCTATGCTGAAAATTTACAGTGTCAAAAGCCAGTCTTGTCACAGGACTTTGTTCAGCTAAAAGAGGGCTAAGAAATAAGAACATTTTTGCTGGGTCCCTCCAGCACTCAAACATTCCAAACCCTTGCAGCTGAGTCCTTGATATTGTTCTAGGGGTGCAAAGAGGACAGGAATGTACCACAGTTGTAACACAGGTGGGCATCAGTCTGACTTTTCTAATCCCATAACAAAAGCAGAAAGAGGAGTAGTCAGGCAGTGATCACCTGTATCTTCACTAGCCCTAAGGCTCATGTGGGTTGCATGTTAGGCACAATACGATATCCAGAATGAAGTTGGTGCAAAACCGCTTATACTACCATCTGCAGGGACTCAGACACAGACAGCACTGAAAAGAGAGCTAGAGATGCAAAGCTACTTTTTGAAAGATGAGCTACTCGTTGAGGGAGCCCATCAGTCATGCGTGTCAACTCTTAACTGCGTTTTGCCAGGGGCGTTAACGGATAAACTAACAGTTGTAGCTGCAAGGAATCTATCTTCTTCATGTTTTCCAAGTCCTGCCGTAGGCTGTCATTTAGCAAATAAAAAAACATCTCTAATACAGCTTTTGGAGGAAGAAGCAGGAAGAACAGATGAATAGGGGAATCTTGTGTAAGATCTAGAGTTCCCAACCCTTTCTACCTTTGCCTTACATTCATCACTGTGAAATGTGTGTGATTGGGAGAGTATGTGCTAAAAGAAGCAAATACTTTGTGAAATACCCGTGTCATTGATAACTTGAGAGCTACAATTTGAGTGGCAGCATGTGGGGATGTCAATGTTATGACAAGACATTCTTGGGGTACGAATACTAATGATAAAACTTTTTACTGAATCAGCAGCTCTAGTAGCAGTGATGGTACCAGAATCAGTTAAAGTGTTTTTATTGCTTGATTCAGTTGAAAATGGACAAAAATTAACAATTGTAACAATTAATTTTATTAAATGTTGTATTCATTTTTATATATTGAAAAGCCTTTTTTTTATTCATCGTCATAAGGAAAATATCTGAAGGGCTAGGAGCTATCATGATGTTGAAAAAATAGCTTTGGAAAGGAAAGTTTGTAAAAGACACTGAAATTACAGGAAGTTTTTTAGACAGTAATATCGCTCTTGCTCGTTAAAACACCTACATTTTCAGCTATTAGTAAAAGTAAAAATAATTTGATAATGCCTGAAACATATTATTGAATTATTTAAATTAATTGAATTAATTAGTTAATTGAAACTGAATTACTTAAAAACAGTACCATTGCTCTAAAATATTTATAAACTGATGGTGGTCAGAGTGCTTGAATGTCTGTGAAAATAATCTCTTGCATTGTTGCCACAAGAATAAAAGGAACTTTTTTTAATACTTTGCAAAGCTGATACTTCCAAACTTTTAAAATTTGCAGACCTATTGCAGAGAAGCCATGAGAATTTTAGGGACAATATTTTACAAGATTGTCTCTTTCCTTTTTTTACAATATGTATCTCTTTCCTGGATTTTGAACTTTTATTACTCATGATAGTGCCATCTTAATTTTTTTATTAAAAGTACTACTGGTCAATTCTCTTCTGAAAGTTGGATTGTCACACCACTTGAAGATATATGGTCATAGGCAAAAAAACCATTCTAAAGTTACTGCAAGTGACACATTTTTAAAAAACCTACAGGGTGTGGAACTAAAGAGAAGGAGGAATAAAGCAAATTTCCTTGTTATTTCTGGAAAGAAAGTATATCCGCCATATCTTACCACAGTAGGGCCTGCAAGGTGCATGTCATTATATGTTACAAATTAGCCATGTCTGCTTTTCTTCCCAACTGACCCTCAGAAAGGCCTTGCTTTTTCTCTTAAAATTTTTTTTTTTTTACAATTTCTTTACAATTGTTAACTACAGAGGGTCTTTCCTCTGGCAGAGACAAAAAACTAAACTAGAAATTAACAGTTAAATGCTACTGTTACTACTACTACTAGGAGTAACTTTAAAAATTCCTCTCCATAAGGGCTAAAGTAACATTACTCAGCTAACTGGACCTCAAGAAACCTCTGAAGCTCAGAGGAATGCCAATTTCCACATCTCTGGCTCACTGATGTGCTCTCTCTAGAAAGGTCCACTGAATCAGATTGAAAGCCAAAAGGGAATTGAGAAAAATGCACGTATGGACTGGTTGGGAGAACTTTTAACTGCAAGTGAGTTAGAAATAACACATGTGAGTGGATTATTTATTTCTTCTGCTAGACACTGGGAGCCATGCAGACTACAGAAAGTCTTCACATGAATTAAAATAAGAGAACCTCTGTTTTTCATATACATACTCATAGAATTCTGGTTTCTGTTAAAGTGTTCTTTCAAAAGGAGACAATACGTTGTAAAATTGAAATGCTTCTTATTGAAGTGTTAGCTATAGCCTGCATTTAGATTTGAAATATTTGAGAGTTACCTGCAAGTATATTCTGATTTAGTTTGCTTGTTTTCCTACCCTTTAAAGAGTAAGGCCTTGATTTATGTACTTCAAGGAGTAAAGAACCATGAAAATGTCAGAAATATATATATATATATATATATCTGGTGCAACATGTTTTACTCAAAACACTCCCCTTATTTTTCTTTTTCAGATGTCACCTCCTCTACATTAACTTATTGTCCTGCTTTCAGCAGGACAGAGTTAATTTCTTCTCAGTTGCTGTTACAGTCCTGTGTTTTGGATCTGGAATGAGAATGGATAACACACTGATGTTTTGGGTTTTTGCTAAGTCATGTTTATCTTAAGTCAAGGACTTTTCCTTGTCTCATGCTCCGCCAGTGAGGAGGTAAGCAAGAGAAACTGTGAAGGAGAACAGCTGGGATATGTCACCCAAAGTGTCTGAAAGGATACTACACATCATAAAACATCATGACCAGTATGTAAACCAGGGAAAGTTACCCAGAAGGGGCAGATCTGGGTTCAGGAAGGGGGGTCTGGTATCAGTCAGTGGCTGGTGAGCAATTGCATTGTGCATAATTTGTTTTTTTTTCCTTGTTATTATCATTATGAATATATTTTTTACCATTATTATAACTAATATATTTTATTTTGTTTTCAATTCTTAAACTGATCTTTCCCCAGCCTACAAGTTTTACTTTGATTCTTCTCGCCATTCCACCAGATTGGAGTACAGGAGGAGAGGAAAGGTTGAGCAAGTGGCTGCATAGTATTTAGTCTCCAGCTGGGCTTAAAATGACAACACCCATATATCCATGTGCTCATTTTGAAGTAAATTATACCAAGTAAAGTCAGGATAAAATTTGGATCCAGAATCTGGCATTTTCTAGAGGGTTTTAAGGTCATATTAAGGACAATTGGAGTCAAAGAATAAAATTAGATAGATAGATAGATAGATAGATAGATAGATAGATAGATAGATAGATAGATAGATAGATAGATAGATAGATGGAAAAGTGCCATGAGAGAAAAAGGCAACCAGCATGGATCTCAGTATAGCTTCAGTTGCTCAGGCAGCAGAATTCACAAGAATAAGAAATAAGAATTGGGAATCTGTCTCCATGTCACCCCTTAGAGACAAAATTTCATTCCAAACCAAACTGCTGTTTTAAATGAAAAACATATTTTCTCATCAAGATTAATATATTACTATTAAGTTGTTTATCAAGTTCTAATAAAAACATTTTAGAAACTTTGCTGTGGTCCCTAGAGTTGCTTGAAGCATTGTATTCCAGGATGCTTCGGAATGCTGATCAGCTGTAAGATTGCAATTAGAGAACTTCTGACATATCTGTATGTACCACAAGACTTTCTCCCTAAAGAAGATGTTCAAGAATGTGGTGTATTATATAAGGAATGCCACGAATTCTGTGAAATCTAAAATTTCATTAAGGGCTTTCAGTGGCAGTTTTAGTTAGAAGTCATTATGTAAGATTTCTAGATTAAAGACATTTGTGTCTGTTGTTTTGATACAAAAATGTGGAATTATATTTTACAAGCATTCTTACTGGCAGTCATAATGCTATTTTATAATTTACCCGAGTGTGTCTGAAACTATGAAACATCATGTCAAAGTCCAAGGTATTTGAAAACAGTGAATAAGAAACATGAGTGCATTTTTTCTTTATTAAATGATAGTTGAGAACACCAGGATTTCATTTTTCTACATCTAAATATATACTAAATGTATTCTCTTTCAAGAACATGTAGTTTTGATGCTTATCTCAATGTATCTGCACAAGTTAGGCTTCTCGGCGAGAAAAAATGAGCTGAAAAGTTTGAAAACAGAAAGTTGTTTGAGATTTTTGCTACTTTCTACACCTGAACAGTCTCAAAATATTAAGAGGACCAAGATTTCCTCCAAGTATTTTGGCCCTTTTAGTTCATATCCAAAGCAAATGACAGAATAAAAAGCACAGAATATTAAAGATAATTCTGTCTAATACTTCATGGCTTTGGTCTCTGTTTAAGCAAACTTTGTACTCCTCCAGCTCTGTAAAGTATATGTAAATGGTACACAACAGCTTTCTATTAAAGTTTCTCTTTACCATCAAGACAGATTTTTGCCCCTAACTAATTCCTTGCTCTTTATCTTATAGAACCTTCTGCTTTATCATAAAATGATGTTACAGCTTTTACTTCGGTAGAAACAATATTATCACTTGTACCTGGAAGAAATTGGCAAGGTAAAATTTGCTTTGTATTTCCTCAAGACAAATATAACTGAGATGAGTACAGCCAGCAAAATCTTACATCATTTTCAAGTTACCCTAAAATTCTAATTCAAAACCAAGGATCTTTCAACCTGACAGATATCTTTATTGATGATCTGGATAAGGGGACTGAGTCTACCATTAAAAAAATTGCAGATGACACCAAGCTTTGGGGAGAGTATTGATCTGCTGGAGGGTAGGAAGGTTCTGCAGAGGGAAAAGCTGAATAGATGGGTTGAATCCAACAATGTGAGGTTTAGCAAGGCCAAGTGCCAGGTCCTTCACTTTGGCCACAACAACCCCATGCAGTGCTACAGGCTGGAGCAGAGTGGCTGGACAGTGGCCAGGCAGAAGTGACTGACTGCAGCTGAACATCAGCCAGCTGTGCCCAGGTGGCCAAGAAGGCCAGTGGCATCCTGGCCTGTACCAGTAATGGTGTGGCCAGCAGGGCCAGGACAGGACACCTCTGTGCTTGGTGATGGTGAGGTCACACCTTGAATTCTGTGTCCATTGCTCAAGTTGACCCTTAAGTTGAGAAAGGATGCTGAGGTGCTGGTGTGTTAAGAGAAGGGCAACAATGGTGGAGAAGGGTCTGGAGCACAAGTCCTGTGAGCAGTGGCTGTGGGAGCTGGCAGTGTTTAGCCTGGAGAGGATGAGGCTCAGAGATGACCTTATCACTCTCTATAACTACCTGAAAGGAGAGTGTAGCACCCCTGAAAGGTGGGGTTCAGTCTCACAGGCAATCAGCACTGGGACAAGAGGACACACTCTTAAGGTGCAGCAGGGGAGTTTTAGGTTGGAGATTGGGAAGAAATTCTTCTCAAGAAAGAGTGACTGGGTATTGGAATGAGCTGCTTAGGGAGGTGGTGGAGTCACCACCCCTGGAGGTACTAAAGACTGAATGTGTCACTCAGTGCCATGGTCTAACTGATGCAGTGGTATCTGTGGCATCATAGATTGGACTCCTTGATCTCACAGGTCTTTTCAACCAGTTGATTCTGTGATTCTGTTACAGGAGGGGAAAAAACCAAACCTGCAGGCCTGCACTAAAGTCAGATGATTCAACAGAGACTTGTGGTGGTGCATCCACCTACCCCTCTCCTCCTCAAGCAGCTCTACAGTCTCCTCAGGAATTCTTGTTAGGCCTCACTTGGTTAATGGCTCCTGGGTAGTTAACCTTCCCTTAAGCTTATTGGAAACACTGTCCTTATCCAGGCACAAACAACAACTGGAAGCCACCTGGGAACCCTAGTATGGCAAGTGAAAGACTGTCAACTATTATTAAATATAGACAGGAAAACTTGAGAAATTTTTCTTATGGAGTATTCTTGATATAGATTGAAGTTACAACCAGGTCATTCTGGTTGTATATATATATTGGCTTCAGCTGTGATTGAGTTAAATTTTGTTTTTCTTAGTAAGTGGTGAAGTGCTGTGTTTTGGATTTAGTATGAGATTAATGCTGATAACACACCAATGTTTAAGTTTTTGCAAAGCAGCTCTTAATCTATACCAAGGACCTTTAGGCTTTATATACTCTGCCAGAGAGCGGGTGCACATGAAGTCTGGTTGACCTGTGAGGCAAATAGTCTTTCCCAAAGCAGAACCTGATGCTCCATCTTCAAATCCAATAGCATCACATCCAGACAAACCTGGTATAGTTACAGTAAATTTATCATGAATTGCAATTGTGTCTCTGATTTAAACTAAATCTCATGGCCTGCTTCCTCGGAAGGTACTGCTTAGTACACAGAATTAGTGCATGATGGACTTACCTGGATCGTGAAAAGGATAATCCCAAGGCCTCTGTACAATAATTTTCTTAATAGTTAACAACATGTTAGACACAGAGAAAGAAGTTTTGTACTTAGAGTAGTATGTGTGGCACTGCCGTGCAATGTATGAGAAATGGAAAAACTGGAAATTGAAATGATCCCCATAGTAAACACAGAAAACTTTGGGCTCTGATGCTAAAATGGAAAACCTTCATTTACTAGTTCAAAATTGTTAGTCTACAGTAAGAATGTAATAAATTTATTTTATGATTAGGGCTTCTTATGCTGTCTCTCTCCATACAATAAAATATCAAAATTTCAGCATCAGTGAACTTCCTAGAACGTTGTTCTCTAAATATGAAAATTTAAACAGTGTATCTTCATGTTTGACTCTAAGGAAAACCCTCAAATACCACTGTACTACTATAATTCTTTCTCTTAGCTCTATTTCCAAGCAAAACAAACAAACAAACAAATATATAAATGAACAACCTTTGTCAGAGTGTCACTCATAAAAAAGGGAAATCAGCTCTTACAGACTCTAGGTAGAAAAGTACAGAACCTTGTGACTACCTCACTCTAATCAGCACAATGTGTTTTTTAAAAGTCTAATTTAAATCTTCCTAGATTTAGCCATGAGGTCTATTCTTCTTTCTTTCTGAGTGATAATAAAAGAGTTGCTACTTTTCCCTTTTTTTTACAACATAAACTCTAGCCGTTTTTAAAAGGTCCAGATACTCATAGAAGGAAAAAAAAAGTGGAGATAAGTACAGCTTCCCATTCAGCTTGATGCCATACAATCCCAACATTTTGTGAGAATGCACTTAATAGTAAGTTAACTGTGATAATCTGTATGACTGGGCAATGTTTAAAAGAGTTTTGAACTTACCTTTCATCAAGATCACTTTTTTATGCATATCAAACCTATGCCTTGACAGATATACTTCCCCACCCTTCTTCCTCCCCAGTCACTAGCAGGATGTTTCTTATCTTTTTCTTTGTTTTCCTGTTAGACAGTAGGAGTGTTGAATGTTTTGGAAGAAAAACAAGAGAAGGAAATAAGAGTGGGTTTGATTTTATGCCAACTAAAACTGAAAGAAGATTATCCTGTCCTATCAATCTGATGTCTGTGTTATGGTATTCCATCATGACACCACACTAGAAGACTTTATGGGTATCTGATGAGTGGAAGAAGACTGTTGAAAGAAGAGAGAATAAACAGAATAAACAGAGCTGCTTTCCCTCTCTGACTGTTCCTAGAGCCCAGAACTGGGTGGCACTGGAACATCAAATTATCTTCTCTAACAGCATGAGTTACTTACTTGTGGCTCTCACTCTCTTCTTTAAAAATTAATTAATTCATTATTCTACTGTTTAAGATTACCACCTATGAAAACTGGGATTTAAAAATATCAGGGTTTTTAGAAAAACTATTTTGCTGACTTTTCTGCAACTCTTTTGCAGGCTGTCATATATATGTTCTATTTGCTACATAAAAGCATGATATAGCTCTGGACTTGCTTCATTGGAACAAAAAGAATATAGTGCAGAATAAAAGATAATTCTATCTTCATCACATGAATGCCACCACTAGCTCCAATTAAAAATATGATGTCACAATTTAGAAAAAAAAAAATTCTGAAAAAAATGCTTTCAGAGGGAAAGGGCAGTTGTTGCTGCTTCTCTCCAAGAAGTTTTCTTTCATCCACTTTTCTCAGTCTACAAATATCTTTTGTATCCTTCATCCTTTAGTTTTGCCAAAATAATCTGTTCAGACATATCCAAAGGCAAGCAGATCCTTACTGGTCAGGTATGGCCTTACAAAGATAAAATGCAAAGTACGTTTCATTTCTGCTTTTTTTTTTTCTTTTTCTTTTTTTTTTTTTTTTTTGTTCACAGTGAAGCTTACAAGCCTGCTTTCTTTCTAACATTTTTTTTTCTAATGGAACCCTAAAATATAAACTTTTAGGGTGCTTGAGGGTAAATGAGAATTTTCCTCATTTCAGATAGGATTCTACTAATAAGGCTGTTTGAAAGACTTTTGTATTAATAGTCAGCTTCAAAATTAATTTTAGTGTTTCTCCTAATACTAAGTGATCTGACTCATTGTCCCATTGCTTTCTGATCTGAGTATGTGGGTGGTTATGTTAGAGACTTTCTGCACAGGTATTTTACATTTTAGACTCAGGAACACTCCTCCATCAAGTCTCTGAGATCTAGGAAATACTAGAGAATCTCAAATTCAGTATTCTCCTCTCACCTTAATCAGTGGTCTGTTGGGCTAACCAGTTTTTCTTGCAATGTCTGTTTCTCTGCAATCTGAGATTAATGATACTTTGTAAAATACTGTGAGATCTACTGATAAAAATTACTTGCAAAAAGCAGTAAGTGCTTTGCCTATGGTAGAAGTTATTTTCAGTAATATGACCTAATATTTGCTGCTTAAAAGTATCATATTTTTACAGATTCCACTTTTCCTGGACCTTTTTTCCTCCTGTTTCTAGGCATAGCATCTTTACTAGATGCTACTGATACTAGACATTGATGAAGATTTCCATGAAGATATAATTTCTTTGTCTAGAATGTCACACTGTTACTTGCTTCTCAAAAACTAGGACAAAAAAGGGTATTGTTAACATAGCAAAATTCTTTCCCCTCAAAAGGGAACTCTTTCTGGATATCTCCAATGTAATGACATCTATCAGTGCTCACTAGTGATTAATATGTCTCATTAATGTTAACAGCTCCAAGTACTCTACTGGCACTGGTGATGTTCAGGAAGCTTCTCCTCTGGATATATGCCTTTAATCTGTGTCCTGTACTTCCACTTACAACCTCATCACTTTTGAATGTTATCTTTTTGAAATTTTTGATATGTGTGTGTAAACATCACTTGTTAATAAATTACTACAACAAACATGTACAGGACATATGAAAAAAAACAAAACTAAGAAATGGTCGGCACTTCCTTAAAATTCAAAAACAGCACCAATTTATTAAAAACAACTCCTCCAGAATGTGGCCATAAGGAAAGAGTTTGCACAATCTGTTCATCTGCATAATTAGTAATTGAGGACCTGAGAACAGTTGGAACATTGCTGTGGGCAAGCCAGGTCAGATCACTGATAACGTAAATAACAAAGATTCAGATTTCCAAAATCTACAAACATCAGAATGGAGCTAACAACAAGTCTAATAAGAAGACAGAAAACAAACAGACAGATAATTCAGGAAGCCATGAAGGACCATTAGAGTACAGAGGGAAAAAAAAATGCCCAGTGTAATGTAAGTTTCATCTGAGGCTGAAAAGAAACATTGAAAGAGAATGGGAAAGGGATGGGGGAAGGTGGGAGAGGAGGAAAAGGAAGGAAAAAAAAAAAAGAAAGATACATGAGAAAACACAGTAACTTATTTTACTTATTATTTGCATAATGGTACAAGTATGTGAATATTTCTGCCAGAAATACATAAACAAGTATTACACCTCAGTATTAGGGAAAAAAAACCCACAAATCTGATTATTATTATTTATAATAATATAATAGCATGATTAATACCTTGAGGAGAAAAAATTTTTGTAACAAGAATGGAATCCTTTGCTTTCAGCGGACCATGATGAAAAAACATGGAACATACAAAGCACTGCAAAGGCCATATGTTCTACTTTGGGAGATGAGGAGTAATATCGGTAAGGCAGTGGTGCATTAATCAGCTGCAGATTCATTCTTTCCAGTGATTTTGTTTGCTGCATCTTTGTTGGATACATGCATCAGGAGACCAAAAGAAGATAAGTTCTTCTTGCTGGCTCTAAACCTTTCATACAATGGTTTCAGTTTGTCAGCCTCATTTCTTACGCACAGTACAAAAGCATTATCCAAATTGACTGGCTAACAACACACAATTTATGGATATTTATTTATTTCAGCCTCCTGGCAAATCATAAGTAATAATGACACAGAATTCAGTTTATTTGTTATTACTGGCAGAAGGAAAATTTTGCATAAGATCACAAGATTACTTTTTTGTTAAATAAGAATATCTGCTTCACTATTCACCAATGTTTGATCTGTATAAATCCTTGGGGATTCAAAATGTCAAAAAAAGTAAAGGGGGACTCTAGTTCTCTCCATTTACAAAAGTCAAGATTATTCATGTTACACCTAGGTGACATAAAAAGTAATATCTGAAGGCAACACTATGTTTGAAATTCTGTCCCTTTCAGGAACATTATGTTATTTTTAATTGGATTAAAATAGTGTTTGGGACTCTAATGTTTTTGTCCCTTCAGTGGGTAAGGTAAAATATTGAAGCAAAGGACGAACTGAGAAAAATAATGCCAGAAAGAGGAATATGAAAATGACAACAGTGAAATCTGTTGAAGAGAATAAAAATGCCATTGATGAAATAGTAACTACAAAAGCCACTGTTTTTATTTTAATTATATTTAATAACCCTAAAGATATATGCCTACTAACATGAAAATACTATCAGGTAGCATCTGCAAAAACCTGGTTTTGTCTCCATTCTCCCAAACTCAAATTCAACAGGTTGTTAGCCCAGTCTTTTGATCAGAGTCTAAAAACAGGCATATAAAAACTGGAAATAGCTGAACTTGGAGAACATATGAACTTGGAGCACATAAATGAAGTTTTGAAAGGAGGAAGGCTAGAAATTCTTTCTAATGGAGGAAAAAGAAATTGCTAATACCACAGAGGAAAAAAAACATTTTATGTCCTGCAAAATTTTCTTAACACAGGTTAAGGATCCCCCCATTTGGAGTTAAGGGTCAGTAACAGACTCTAGTTTGAAACAGATTAAATGTAAATCATGTAAATCAGATTAAATGTACCATCTAGATACACATTACTTGACACTGGAAAGCTTGATATGTGTGATACCATTTTTTGCTATTAAGTGGAAATAATAAAGTGTCAGACATGCCTCTCACTCTTGCTTAAAATTAAGCCATTGAAGTGTTTTTAACCCTTTGTATTACCTATATATAATATATAAATATATATTATATAACCCTTTATATATAACTATTAAAAGGTTAATTATTCAAAAGGTATTATTAAAAGTTGTCATTTGTATTGTTATTGGTAGTAGTAGTAGTAGTAGTAGTAGTAGTAGTAGTAGTAGTAGTAATAACCTTTTAAAAGGATATTAACCCTGTAATTGATTTACTCACTGAGATCTCCTGGTTCCTCAAGACCCTCAGCTCATTCTGTTGAAGGAAAAAAAATTGAAATAATTTAATGGGTCAATAGTCCAAACCCTAACTACAAATTCAGTTATGTAGGTCTTATCTGACTTTTGAAGTGTAAGCCCTTTCAAAGCACTCTACCTTTCAAATATCATTCATTTCACTCTCATTAAATTTATTTCTGATTTTTTCATACTAATGCAGTATTGCATACCAACCAAGTCCATATGTTTTTTTCACCTCTCCATCACACCAATATGAAATATACCTGACGATGCTTGATGTCGTGGTTTAAGCTTGGATGACAGCTACTCAGCACAAAGTTACTCACACACAACTTCTCTGGAAAAGGGAGGAAAATCAAAAGCAAAACCTGTAGGTTGAGATCAAGATAGCTTAATAATTAAAACAAAATAAAATATAGTAACAATGGTTTACAACAACAACAACAACAACAACAACAACAGTAATAAGAATAAGAATAAGAATAAGAATAAGAATAAGAATAAGAATAAGAATAAGAATAAGTGGTAAAGAGAAAAACAAGTTATTGACAAAACAAATTGTTCTCAATCCATCGGCCAATGCCAGGCCCCATCGCCAACCCTAGTCAGCCTCTCATCTGGGTAACTTACAGAATTTATAGGAAGGAATATTCCTTTTATCAGTTTGAATCACCTGTCCTGTCTGTGCTCCCTCACAGCTTTCATTTTCTACTTCCTCACTGTCAGAGCATAAGACACAAAATAGCCCTTGCCTTAGGATAAACAAAGCTTAGCAACAACCAAAACATCAGAGTGTTGCCAACATTATTCTCACACTGAATCCAAAACACAGGACTTCTCCAGCTACTGAGAAGAAATTAACTCTATCCCAGATAGCATTAACCAGGCCAGTTGGCCAGCTTGATAACCTTCTATGATGGAACAATCATTTGATAGACAAGAAGAGAGCAGTGGATATTATCTACATGGATTTCAGTCATGTTTTTGACCCTGTTTCTCATGAAATCTTTGTAGATAAACTCTGGATATATAGGCTGGATGAGTAGGCAGTGATGTGGCTTGAAAACTCTCAGAATGGCTGGGCTCTTGAGAGTGGGATCACTGGGAACAAAGCTGGCAGTCAATAATTAGAAGTGAGCCCCCGGAGTCATTGCTGAGTCTGATCCTGTTTAACATCCTCATTAATGTTTTGAATGATGGGACAAAGCGTACTCTCAGCAAGTTTGTTGGTTAGACAAACCCAGAAGTAGTGGTTGATACACCAGCAGTTCACCCTGCCTCCATATTCATCACTAGAGGAATCCTGACAGGGTGGAGAAATGAACCAACAGATATTTCATTAAGTTCAACATCCTGGGCTGAGTTTATGATGTTTGTATCCCCAGTTGTCTGTTCTGTTTATGCTGGATGTTAAGTTCTGCACATTTAAGGCTGGTTCTGAGAGCGAAGTGGGGGAAGCAGAAGCCGCAGTTTGTGTTCAGAAATGGCACTCGCTGCCCCACATCCTTCTCTGGACTGTGCTGTCTGCAGCACGGACAGACAGAGGGACAGAGCTGTCCTTTGCTGTTAGTTAGTTTTCAGCTAGCTGAGGTGGGGAAGTTCCCCAGACTGTGGCTTTTTTTCTAGATCTGTACAAACCTGCTCTGGGCTGAAACCCCAGACAAACCCCGGGAGCTCAGGCCTGTGGCCCAGCGGGGCCTGGGCCTCGGCACTTCCAGAGGGACTGAAAGGGACTGAGAGAGCCCAGCTACACACCATGACATGGACTTTGTGAATTTGACATCTCTTCAGAACTGTGAGAGGTTTTATTGTTCAATATTATTCATTTCTTTTCATGCTCATAGATACTTTGCTTTGTAAAAAACCAGGTTTTTTCACTTTTCTCCAAAGAAGTCTTTTCCCAAACCACCTGGGGGAGGGGCTGCTTGAATTTGCTTTCTAAAAAGACCCCATTCAGAAGTTTTCTCCCAGATTTACCCTCAACCATGACATTTGACAAGGAGAAGACCAAAGTATTACACTGGGGAAAGAACAATCAAATACACCCATATATCCTAAGGGTCATCTAGAACCCATTTCAGAACTATCACAAAAGCAGAATTTTCTCACAAGTCACATTCCTTCAACAAGTGGGAAAACGCCCCCCTGTGACTTCTCTGAAACTCTTGTCACTTTCTAGGAATATAACATACTATCAGAAATAGCATTGCTAACTAATTGTTTTGATAAGCTTAAAACAAGGATTATGAAGCAGTTTTTCAAAGTAATCAGTTTACAAGATAGTTCCTAAAAGTATCCATGACCCAAAGTATGTCATGTCCCATCTAGGCTTCAAATGGCAAAACCATAGCTCTGGATGTTTTTTCTCACAGTGCAACTGATTTCAAATTCCAGTTTTCTGTTTGTCTAATTGTCCTAATTGTCTAATTTCTAAATAAATGAATACTAATGAAAATCATTGTGTACTTACAATTTTTATACATATTGCTTGTTAAATTTTTTCAAGATTTTATGAATCTCAAATCTATTCCTGGGTACCCAAGGACAGTCTATCCTTCCTTGAATATGTGTTAGTTAAATTAGATTTACATTGAACTCAACATTTATTCATGGACACAGTCTTTGGTCTGGTTTTGGTTTTGGGCATCATTTGTTTAATAAAAGTCTGCCAGATCCATTCATTTGTGATCAAGACAAGCCACATGTCTGGATGGAAGAAGATAATGGTACACACAAAGACCCATATGCATACACAGTGGAGGTTGTGGGTTACTTTACCCTCAATTCACAACATGCAACTACTGAATCCAAGCCCAGGCAGGTCAGAAACCAGAAAAGAATGTGTGCCTCCTGTACCTTAGGTAACTCCTGTTTTCAGCCACCACATTTAATTTTCCCAGTTAAATAGGAATTACCACTCCAAAATAACTGAAAGACATTTCCTTAGAAGAGACAGTGGAAAAATGCATTGACAAGCTTGTATTGGTTTGTAAATACCATTAGAATCCTGTTCTAAAAGGAAGCCAAATTTACATTAAGTATGAAGATATTTAGAGTAGTCTAGGTGGACTAAGTCAGCTGGCTTTGTACTGTATGTAATACAGATATTGAGAAGAGAGAGGAACATGCAGGGTTGGAAACTATAGAGATACCTGACATACTAGTTAATGAAGAGAGAATATTTAGTCATGTATGTCAGCCAAAGCAAACTTGAGCCCTTAAGCACCTGTTGTTGCTGAAGATCCACTGGCACCTTTTCCATTAGTGGAGAATTCTACCTCCAGTGTCTTGGGCAACTTTCAATAGTAATTATGCCCTTCCAGCACAATTTCCCTTGGAACTGCAGTTGAAGCAGATATTTTTTACTTCCTCCTCCTAAAAAGGGTGTTTTGCATTTTGTGGAATGGAGGAGCTGCTATATTCCACCCCAGAGATGGCTATGTTTCACTGGTGGTTGAATTGATCTTTAAGTGTGTACAGCTAGCAACACACTTGGAGTCCTTTCTGGAACAGAAGACATTTTTTAAGTACAGAGTAGTCTTTAGAAAGTAGCACAAGATGAGATGTTATATACAAAACATCTGACTCATTTCTTGCTCTCTCAGTTTAAGTAGATCAGCCCTTGAAACGGATTAATGTGAAAACATATTTTGGCCTTGAACAGTTAGCACAATGTCTACAAAAAAATTTACAGCTTTTGGCGTGTTTACCTTTTCCTTCTGTGACATAGGATGCTATGTATGACTTGTTAAAAAATATATTAATTCAATACACCTATCTGACTTCCTTCTGCTTCTCACAAACACACACACTACATATTTAATCCAATCGACCCTCTTAATTTAAGAAACAGCCTTGGTGGGTGGCAGTTTTTAAAGTAGCTTAACACAAAACACACAACAGAGCTATGAAAAATTCTCCAGTTACACTGTTTGGCACTTAATGATTTGGATCAGTGCCAAAGCGAAGCTGCTGAAAAAATCCTCCCACTCCAAGGCCTGTGCAAGGTGACAATAAGTCCTTTAAGAAACATAAACTTTACTCACATGATTTAGCTTGCCAATTGTTCTAATATGGTAAATCACATATTCTTTAAATGTGTTTTGGGGCTAGTAGAGGGAGGAGGTGTGAGAGGTTTAACTGTGATTTATATGATGAGGGAAGAGCTGGCCCTTTGGACCAAGAGGCTGAGCACACAATTGAGTAAATATCCTTTTAATATTTTGCTCATTTCAGCAAGCAGCAACAGGAAAAATCATTTTCCAATCTGTCAGCACATTTCAGCATCATTAGCTTCTATATCAGATTTGCTACCATTCAAAAATGCATCAGGAGACAAAGCAGGAAGAGTTAAATAACTTTACTGGAATCTGAGGTCTGTAAGGACGTGAAATTAGATTAGATCTGTGGAAATGGGGACAGTTTACATTACCAGAGGGGCCCTACCTGTCTCTTGGCTCGACAATGAACAATGCCTTCAGCATATGGCATTACAATGGATTAGTGATCAAGTGCAATTAATCCTCATATATCCTCTCTTGAACCTCAGTGGCTTGTTAGTTGGAGAAAAAAAATCTGCTGTCCCCAAAGTTTCAGGTGAAACTCTCATTTGAGGTAAGGCTACCATGTGGAGCTGTGCCTCCATCTGGTGACTCCCTTTTGTGATATTCAAACAGAAGGTGTTTTAATGAGGCTTTTATAGCAGGCACCACCTGCTACTGATCTTCCTCTCTACAAAGTTGCAATTGAGGATTGGTTTTACAGTATGGCTTGA